GTTCAGGATGACATAGACCCTAGGTGAGACCATGTCTGCTTAGTGTCTTCTCTTGTCTTTTCTGTTTCTTTGGGGCTCCTTGCAAGGCTACCCCCTATAATTAACCATTCTCATAATAATCACTATCTAAAGCAGCACTGTTATTACTTCCCCTGTGGAAAACTTGGGCTGTTATGAAAGTCATTGATTCTTTCAGCAGCGACTGTATAAAGATCCTTGAGAATTAAAGCAAGGAAATCTAACATATTTTTCTACCAATCTGAAATCCAACAATTTTTCTACCACTCTGTTCATAAAATGAGTCCATTTAATATGCCATGTCTTCTAAGCAGACTACATCTAAATCCATTAAAACTAATTTAAAATAGTCTTTGAGACATGATATCTAACAATAAATAGAAAACTTGGGACTTGTAGGAAAAATAATCTCCTTAATTGACAGAACAGATTCCTTCCTAGAGCTAGTCATATTAAGAGCATGTATTTCACATCCATGAAACATCTGGGCGTGGTGGTGTAATCTCAGTACTGGGGATACAGAAGCAGGAGGATGTTGAAGCATGCTGGCTACCAAGTCTAGCCATATTGTTAAATTCTAGGTTTAATGCTAGACCGTATCTCAAAAAATAAGACAGAGAGTAAACATTGACCTCAGCCTCCACAAGCACACTCACATGTGAACATATATATGCACACATGTGAGCTACACATGTGAGCATGCACATGCACACACACACATACATGCACACACACACACACACACACACACACACACACACACACACGTTTACCTATTGCATTGCCACATTGGCTCAATGTTCCCTTGAGTGAAACTGCCAATGTTCAGTTCACTATCAAGGCAGAATGCCATAAATGGAATCCATTTAGGTGATGTACACGAAAATGGTCCTCTGGCACTCACTCTCCTTGTCAAGCCTTAAGGATTTGAGGAAAGGATCTACTTGGAGGAAAAGAGGTATTTATCTGACCGAGGATCTTGGTCAGTTCATAATCCTCTCCATCTAAGACTTAGTCTTGAGCCCTCCTGTCCCAGAGGCAGGGCATTCATCTTTTGAGCGCACAGGCACACGTGACTTCTTGCTTCTCTTACACTTCTAGGAAAGGTCGGGTTGTCTATCATTGGCTTGAGCAGGTGACCAGTCTTTGTAGGAGGAACTGCCTAAAGAGATGAGAATATATCACACTCTCTACCACCCCCTCCCACTCATGCCTCAGAGGACATCGAGGAAGAGAAGGCAGAGAGATTGGAAGAGTTATAGAATGGGGAGGACTTGGGAGAAACAGTGTCTTCCAGACACTAAAGTACCATTGCATTCACTGACAACCTCTGGTCCCCTGCACAAGACCTGCAGATGGATGGAGAGGGGTGGGGCACATGAACTTCCACTCCTAGCTGGGAAGTGACTGATGATTGCTAGGAGAGAGAGAGAATTAGTTTTCCTTAGTGGCTTGGCACATAGCATGTTGCTCATGCACCATTGGATAGGCAACCGTGCGTATATATAGCCAGCTGTAATTAGATACAGCAAAGTTTTATGAAAGTAAGTAAAATCAGGGCAAGAGTTGGAGGATCTGTAAGGAATTAGAGGGGGAGAGGGGATGAGTATGATTGAAATATATTGTATGCATGCATGAAATTCTCAAAGAAAAAAATTAAAATATTATACTAAAATATTTTTAAAAATCATCTACAACAAGCCTGCCCCATAGGCAGAAATAACGAGTAGGGAGCTCTAGAGGCATGACTAGACTGTCTAGAGGGCCTAGCCCAGGAACTGCTTAACCCATTGGGTGTGGGAGCTAGCTCAACAGGGCGTGGCTTAGGCATCGAGTCTGAGACAAACAAACTTGAAACAGATGGCCAATTATAACCATCTTTACTGATCAATGTGCCCTTGGTGGCCATGTTACCTTTACAATTTTAAGGACAGGTGTCAACAAGGCACCCATACGTTGTCTCATAAATCAGCCAAAAACTGTACTTCTGTCTCAGAAGCCTAGAGTGGGGAGGGTAAAATCTGTTGGTCTTCTCTTTCTTTCAGAGAGGCCCCTGGCACTACTTCTGTCCCCTCACGTCTTTCAGTCCTCCCCCTGCTCTCCTCAAAGAAGGTACTAGTTTGCTTTGTTAGATCCTTGAAAAGAAAGGTCAACTTGTTGACTGCTTTTACTTTTTCCTTATTTTTTTTTAAGACAACATAGCAGTGGGTCTGGAGAGATGACTTTGGACAGTGGTTTCTCAACTTTCCTACTGTTGCGACTCTTTAATACTGTTTCTCATGTTGTGGTGACCCCTGAACCATAAAGTTATTGCTGTTGCTACTTCATAACTATAATTTTGCTGCTATGAATCATAATGTAAATATCTATGCTTCCTGGTGGCCTTGGGTGACCCCTGGGAAAAGCTCATTGGGCCCCAAAGGAATTGTGACCCATAGATTCCTGGAGCTCCACGTCCAGCCAGCCTAGCAGAAAGGGTGGCCTCAGGTTCAGTGAGAGACCCTACCTCAAAATATAAGAGTAGTGATAGAGACGGAACCCTACAGTCAGTTTCTAGCCCCCACAGGCACATGCATACACACATACCCCACGCCCCCTCTATTTAAAGAGGGTTTCCAATGAAAAGACACCTCTGGAACTTCCTCAGCATTCATGGAGACCTAGGCTTGATCCTTATAAGACCTGGCATGGAGGCACACAAAGGTAATCCCAGTTCTCTGCTGGAGGGAAGGCAGGATGATTAGAAGTTCGAGACTGTCCTAATTAGAGGTAATTAGGCCAGCCTATGATACATGAGACTCTTTCTTCGAAATTAAAAATAATTTAAAAGACAGATACGTGGGGCTAGAGAAATGGTTCAGCAGTTGAAAACACGTGTTGCTTCTTTAGAGGACCTGCATCGAGGGTTCACAGCCACTTGTAATCCCAGCTCTGGCCTCTGAGCACATGCGGGCGGGTGCTCATGCCCCTCCCAACCACATATTCACGTAAGTTTTTAGAAGGCAGATACCATGCAAATTTAATTCAGACAAAAGCACATTGTAACCTTCTTTAGTACAGAGTCTTATAAAGTTGTTGCTGTACTCGAGGTGTCCTGAAAAGCCCCCTAGGGTAATGGCTGTGACATTCCTCAGAGGTGAATGCATTTCCATTACTCATTCTTAAAAACCCATGCTCCTTGTCTTTTCACACGCATCACAATGAGGTCTAAAATAGATGTTCACCGCCACTCTTTCAGGGTTATGAATAGCAGAACCTTGAAAAGGCCTGGTGGCAACTGAAAGTGATGCATGTGATTTAGAAAGGACGCATTCAAGAAAACCAAGCAGGAGGCAGCTGCTAAGTACTTGGAGCACCAGAACACGATGGGACCCCTCCATCTCCACACTGGCAGCCAGGTGCCACACTTCACGGTCAAATGGAGAAGTGAGTGGCTGAGAGCTCCAAGGAGGAGCTGCACCTACCAGGCGAAGGGACTGAAAAGTCCAAAGGCGACCCAGGCATTGGGTCAGATTGCTGATCCTGTTCTCTGTGTCTTCATCCATACCCCTTTCCAGGTGGCAGAAATATCAAATGGCATTTCTCTACCCTCCCGATGGTGGGATTTCTCATTCAGTTTATCCAACCAAAGGGATTCACCAGCAGCTGCCTCCTCCAGCTCAAGAACTCAAGGCGCTTTGCCCTCCTCTTGTCCTTGCCAGCAGAGTGCCAGGACAGGGGTGGGCCTCCGGCTCAAGGAAAGAGTGAGGGACAAGGACAAGAAAAGATACAGCTAGCTACCTCACAGCGTCCTGGTCAGTCGGGCTCTGTCTGATCTGAAGACGCTCAAATGAGAACTTAAAGATGGCTAGTCTTAGTGTGGGGGTAAGTGGTGTCACAATGGAAATCTCTTGACTAATACAAATCTTGTTTTCCACATGTGGCTCATTTGGAGAAAGAACAGGGAGAGTTGCGAGTGAAGAGGGAGCATGTGAGGTGTAAGCCTTAGCTGAGAACGTGCTATGGCAGCAGTCAGATGGATGCTGCTTCCCAGTCAGAATATCCCACCTGGGAGTGGAAGGTCCCAGAGCAAAAGCTGTGCGGCTGTACCTCCTTAGACTCTATGAGGCTGATCAAAACCTCTGTCACTTCAGAGAGCTGCAATATTGCAGGCCCAGAGACAAATGATTTGGGACTATCTTTAGTTTCCTAGCCGCTGATTGTCCATCACTGTGTTTGACCTAACAGCCTTGTGAGACTTGGAGGTAAATAACTTCTGGAATATATGATGACCTTAAACTTCCACTGACCCAAAGGCTGAGCCTGTCACAGAACACATCTGAGGTTGATGGCTGAGACCCCCCCTACTTTTCTGCAACATTACTGCCTGATGATCCCATCCACATATTTTTAAATACCCCTTGATTTATAACTTTCATTGTTCTATTACTATAAAAAAACTTCACGAAACATTGCAGCACGGCATTTGGGGTAATCTAAATCTGTGTTTCTGGGACCATGGCCACTAATATTTGGCTCTAGAATAAAGGCTCCCTTATTCTCTTTTACATTGACACACCCCTTACCTGGACCTTGACAAAGGGGAGAGAATCATAGAGCATTCTACCTTCCTGGCCACGTTGGCCATCACTTATGTGTCCAGTTTCAGTGAGGACAGACAAACATTTCAGGTCTCCTATGCCCACCTGGCATATCAGGCTCAGGCAGGTGTCCACGGCCACATAAAGGTGTAAATGGTACCCGGGTCCCGTGGAGGGTGCCAGCTGATGTCTTGCTTACACCTGCATCCCAAACACCTTCTCCTCCCACCCCCCGGCCCTGCCTCCCTTTGCTTTTCACAAGTCCTCAAAGCCATGCCCCACATGGACCCTCTTGCATCCAACTCTCTGAAGCTCAGAGTTCAGCTGTGGGTCCCTCATCCTGGGCACCCAGCTTTCATTCAGTTTCCCAGCGGTGTTACACCTGCGAGTCAGGGGTCTTACCCACGATCATGTGGTTGCAGACATCACAGAAGGTGGGCTTCTTAAAGACATGTTCCTGAAAGGCGTGGACCTTGTTGTTGCTGCCGGGGTGCAGGCCAGCCCTGGTGGGCGCAGGTGCAGGGCTCCCAGGGACGGGCACTGGGCTGGGGCCTGGGCTGGGGCCCAGGCTGACCTTGGCCAGCAGGTCTGCTTGCAGTTTCACGTCACTGTTGGTTCTCAGGAAGAAGTTGTCCGCACTTTTGCTCCGCAAGCTCTTGGTCTTGAAAGAAAGTGACCGTTTTAGTTTCTGGAGCTGCAATGCAATGACAGGACAACTGCTCTTATGATCAGTCCTGTGAGTCCTGTGGCAGGTGCAGCCAACTCTGCCCTGTGCTGACCCACAGATACCTTAGCCCAGGAGGCTGGGCCCGGCCCCAGTGTGGGCAGTCCAAGGCCAGCAGCCAGCTGAAACGGGACTCAGAGGTCCACCCTGCGCCCCATCTGCCCCATTCCACCTTCTCACCCTTGCTTCTCCAGGTCCCACCTGTGTGCTGTCTAAAGTCCCAGGGTACTGGGTTTTTCACCTTTTATCTTTTTGAGTTGTCATAGTTGGAAATGAGGTATGAACTCCTGGGAGCCAAGGCTGTGTGTGTAATACTGTCATCTCTTTCTCAGGACAAGGTCTTTGTTCTTATGATCATAGCTATCTGTCTTTATGGACGGCATAGTGTATGAACAATGTCTCCTTATGACTTGATATTGATCAGGGTAACTGGTCTCCGGACATAAGCCAGAAGCTCTCTAATATGCACATATCTAATTTATGTGGACAAGAAGTTGTGTGTGTGTGTGTGTGTATGTGTGTGTGTATGTGTGTATGTGTGTGTGTGTGTGTGTGATGCCTGTATGCCCATGTGGTATATATGTGATATATGTGTGTATGTGTGTGTGTGTATGGTATATGCTTCTGCATGTGTATACTGTATGCGTGTGTGTATATGTACATGTATGTGTAACACTGCATGTATGTGCATGTATGTTATATATGAAGTATGTTTGGATGTATATGTGTGTGGTGCATATACATGTGTCTGTATGTATGTGGTGTGGAGGTGTGTGAGATACATGTGTTTATGTATGTGGCATGTGTATGTAACTCAGTATTTTAACAGGCTGTTTAGCTGTTTAGCTAATGTACCCTTTCCCTGGCGTTCAGCCTCAGTAAATTAGGTCACTTCTCTTTGCCTTTGGGTCTTATGGTGAGACACTAAGTAGATTTAGAAGAGTTCTGGACTTGATTTCAGTCTGTACTCCTAATTCAATCCATGCTGATTCTGGAGGGATCTTCTGGAAGCACAGATGTGAACCTGTGAGTCTCATCCTTAAACTCTTTTAGAGACTTCCCCTTTTCTTAGGCATAAAGACACACCCCAGCTGAGTGTGCCACTGCAGGCCTAGGACTCTGGCTACTCAGGAGGCTGCAGGCAGTGAATCACACATCCAAGGCCTGCCTGCTTTGCAGAGGGAGTTGGATTCAGCTTTGGCAATTCTGTGTCTCAACAACTCAATGGTGGAGAACAGGACTGAAGCTATAGCTCAGTGACAGAGTGCTTGCCTGGCACATGTAACACCTTGGGCTCAGTCCCTGGCACTAAACAAGCAAAGGGTGAAACCCCTGCTGCCTGGGCTCCTGGGTCCTCAGCCCTGGTGGCAGTCTGCTCCAGCATTGGTTTTGCTAAGTCCTTGCCAGGTACCATGACTCTCTCCAAATCTCTCACACATTTCATTATCAGCACTTAGCACACTGCCTTCCTCCCGCCCATACAGAAGAAGTGAACAGTGTGCAGTTCATGGCGTTCAGAGGTCACTACACCTTTGAGGTGGCTCCCCTGATAAGTATCCACCTGTGGCCATTCTTCCTATTACCCAGAATCACACCTGTGCAGCAGCGGAAGCCATGCATGAAGGGGCCCTGTGCTTACTGGATGGAGTCTATGTGGGACCCGGCTCCCTGAGGACACGGAAGATAGCTCATGCGGCTGTATCAAGCCTGCCACCTCCATCCCCACCTCTATCTTGACCTCAGAAGACTAGACAGCCACTGTGGTCATAGAGCAGGGACACAGCACAGAAAGCCATATAGATTTGCAGTGTGATTTGGCCGTGATTCACTTCAAAAGCAGAGCATATTTTCCACTCTGAATCTTGTTAGTATAAAATTCTCCCAGTTTTAGGGACAGAGATGAGACAAGATCTCACATCACAGCCTAGGCTGTCTCAGAACTTACTATGGGCCAGACTGGCCTCAAGCTGCAGGTTGCCCTTTTTCCTCAGCCTCCTGATGACAGTCCATATGTGAGCTGCCCAGGCTCTTGAACTTTTATTTCATTTTACTTTAGTGTCAGGCTGATGAGATGGATCATCAACACATAAAAGGCACTTGTCATCGAGCCTGAAGACCTGAGTTCTATCCCTGGGACCCACAAGATGGAAAGAGAACTGACTCCCATAAGTTGTACTGTGGCCTTCACTTCACACACACACACACACACACACACACACACACACACACACACACACACTCTCTCTCTCTCTCTCTCTCTCTCTTACATTTTCAAAAGTTGACTGTATGTATTTCCTGCACATTGTGTGTCATATAAGGATACTTCATAAAAGCATGTGTTGTCAGTTGAGAACATTCATGCCAGTTATTGTTATTTGTCTGTTTATCCGTCCCAGATCTGGCAACAGAGGAACAGATGATGAATGTGTGGTATATATACACAATGGGATTCTTTTTGGTCATAAAGAAGAAAGCAATGTTGTTTGCAGTAAAATGATGTAACTGGAGGTGATCACATTAAGTAAATTAACCCAGTCTCAGAAAGACAAATGACATGCTTACTATCATTGGGGGGGTCTTACATTTTATATAGATGTATAAAATCATGTATGGGTGTATGTGTGACTTGAGAATAGAAGCAAGACTGTTTCAAGGTAGGACTCTGTGACTCCTTTGGAAGCTCCTCAAATGCTTTCAGGATCAAATCTGTGATAACCTGAGGGATAATGAGAGGCAAGGCTCCTTCCACACAGGGACCTCACAGACTTGAACTATATTACCTCCTGCAAGGTAAAGGGATCCTAGTCAAGTATCAGCTTAAGGCCTGCCTTCTGCTGGCCCTATACTCTTCCCTTTCTTGGTCAGTGAGTCTCCAGGTATTGGACAGGGGTGAAAGGCAGTTACCACAGGTCTCAGGAATGTGGGACTTCTGCTGGTCAGTGGGTGGGGAAGCAGGTCTGTGGTCTCCAGAAGCTTACATATGATGACAGGGAATTCTCGGCGCTTCCCTTCCTTGCCCTCGTGTGTGTGTGGCTGGACACTGTGTCAGCTGAGGAAGTCTGCTTGCTTCTAGAGCCAGAGATTTGGTTGGAAGCCAGTGAGACATTTCCTACTAAGGTGGACTACTTAAAAGACATGCCCACCAAATAAACAGGATCCTAGCTGCAAGCTCAAACAAGTACTTCCTTCATATATCCCCAATGGAGCAGAGACCAGAGAGGAAGATATCAAATGAGAAAGTACCAGTAGAGTTTGATAAGTACATGGTCACAAAATGATTAGCTCTTATGCACAACTACCAGGGTATAGTTCTGTTTTAAAAAATGCTTTTTAAAATAAAAGAATTATAAAAACTATTTTATGTGTCTATATGAGTGTATGCTACATAGGTGCTGATGCCCTCAGGGGCCCAAAGAAGGTATAGAATCCCATGAAGATGGAGTCACAGGCAGCTATGAGCAGCCAGATGTGGGAAATGAGAATTGAACTTTGATCCTCTGGAAGAGCAGCACCATTGAACCACAAATTTTGCTTCCATAAATATTCACTAGTACATTCTCGTGTGCTGGAAATGTCCCATATCTCCATTCTTAACATTTTTGTAAACTTTATTCATTTATGTATTTAGCGATCCAGGTCTAATACTGGGCCTTGTACCTAAGAGTCTACCACTGAGCTACATCTCCAGTCTCTCATATTAGAAAACTCTCCCAGTAGAGGATCATTCATTTCCTTATTCATTAAATAATCCAGCAATGAATACCCATTTGGATGCTACCAGGAGCCAGGCATAGTACTCAATTTTGGTGATAAAACAGTGAAAATATTTAACAGCAATGACATTAATCTCTTTATGGTTTAAAGTTGAGTGGGCAGAAGAAAAAAGTGTGTAAATGACAACATAGTTGGTGAGTGCTCAAGTTACGAAGGGAAAAAGTAGATGCGGGCTTTAGAAGGCCACAGGAAGGCTTATTTGACAGGTGACATCTGGGCAGAGATGTGGAGAAAGCGGTGGGTAAGAGTAATGCTGTAGGAGAGCATTGTGGATAGTGGAAAAGCCAGACATTGCTGGACAACGAGCAGAAGAGCATTATGGGTGATGAGAAAACCAGCAGCAATGATCCCAGTGAGAAAGCAGCGTCCCTGCAGCAACCCATGAGGATGCCGCAAGGGCATTATCCCAGCTTCAGTTGGGGCTTCCTTGCTGGCCATGGCAGGGCCTGTGGAATTTATCCCAAGGGCAATGGTTCAGAACAAGAACGTGGCAAGGGCTGACTTTGATTTAACGGGATGCTCTGGGGAGTATTTGAGAAACAGATGGTTTTAAGAGGCATGATTGACATGAAGAGACCTGCTGGGAGATGTCTGCAGTAAGTGTCTGGCCAAGAGGGGATTCTGACATGTGATAAGACACACTTACATTCCAGGTACATTCTGAAGGTGGACCCAGAGGTTTGTTGGAGGGTTGGATATGAATGAGTAACTCTAAGATTTCTGATTGGTGCAACTGAGTGAATGGAGGCATGCCCTTTTACTCCAAGGAGGAAGAGCAGAGAAGACACAGTTGCCATGGAGACTGGGAGGTCTGAGATACCTATTTAGAATTCAAGGGGAGTCAAAGTCTTGGTAAGGAGATACGTGCTTTTGGCATTGGGGAAGAAGGTCCAAGCTGGGTAGTGAGTGGGGACCCATGAGCACATGGATAGTAAGCAGGGCCTTGAGACCAGGTGAAATCATTACAAACACCACAAGCAGATCCTAGAGATCCACTGTGTGAAGACAGAGAGCAGGAGACTGGAAATCATATGAAAAGAAGACCCACGAGGCCAGGTAATGGTATCTGTGAAGACGCTGCCCACAAAGGAGACCTAGAGAAAGGGTACCATGGGGGCTTAGAGCAGCAATTTAAGTCAATGAGGCCTAAGGCCCTGCAAGGAAGGCCTTTGAGAAATCTTAGCAACATGGCAGAT